CATTCAAGGGTACTACATTATACCTTTTAATTAAAAAACATATTCATATTCTATATGAACAAATGTTTTTTTTTTTTCTTAATTTTAACGTGATTATAAATTTGTGTAGATTCCATTGATTTAAAACATGTTTATTTTTTCAAAAATAAATTTATGTTAAAAAGATGTTGCAAAAAATATTAAGGCAATGAACTAAAATATTTCTTATAAAATTTTATTTGTTACTAAAATATATTTTTCATTTTTTAAAATTTTTTATTTAAAAGGATAATATACAATTGTTAATAAAATGAAACGTTAATATAAAATAAGTAAATTTTAAATGTTTATATCATAAATGAAGAAATATTATATAAAATAATAAATTCTCAAATTCGTATTAATAGAATATTAATTAGAAGAAGAATAATTAAATGCATAAGTTAATAAGATAATAAAAAACAAATAATTTTATATTTTTACTTTCAAATATAAATCGTATTTTTATACTTTTGTTTACCTCTTTATATAACTGCTCTATTTATATATAATTATCATAGGTACTTACATATATATAATAAATAAAATATGTAAAATACAATAATATATAATAAAATTATACAAAATTAAAAAAAAATAAATAAAACATAATTAAAAAAATATAAAAGAATATTTAAAAAAAAAAAAATAAAAATAAAAATAAAAAAACATACAACATGGTAAAACGAAACAAAATAAAAATAAATAAAATACAACATAATAAAAAAAAAAAAAAATAAATGTATATATTAATGTTTTTTGTTTTTTAATAAATTAAAGTATAATAAGATTTAATAAAATAATAAAAATAATTTATAATACTAAAAATTGAAAAATATTTGTTTTCATATTCACTAAAAAATCATTTAACTTTAATTTATACAAGTTCCTAATTTATCACATGTTTTTAAATGTAAATAAAACTATTAATTTCCATTTTTTTAACTAAAAGTCTCAAAAATATTTTTCATTTTTATATGTCTTATTAATTTAACAGAACCTTTTCTATGCCAATGTGATATTTCTTTCAGAAACATGGATAAATCTTTAAAATATATTAATTCATTATTAAAAAAAAAAATTATAATAAATATATCATATTTTATACTATCTGTTAATTAATCAATATTAGCTATTCTTGAAATTTCATTTAGATTAAAACATTGCATTAAGTCAAAAATTCAAAATAATAGTATACAAAATAAAAATAAGTGATATATCATCTGATAGTATATATATTCTATTCTGATATGGTTTTTATCTAAAATAGAAAAAAATTTTGGGATATATTCAAATAAAGCATTGTGTGATATAATTTGTAATAATCATTGTTAAAATTTAGGTTATAATGATAATGTCTTATTAGAAAATAATGACTTTTTTTCATATTTGAAGTTTTAATTATATAATAAATATTACTAATTGAAAAAAAAAAAAAAAATTAATGTTAAACTATACATTATATTTTAATCTATTATAATCCAATAAAATGTTTTAATAAATAAACATTATTTTTTAAAAAAAAAATAATAAATATAGAAATTAATTTAACACTACGCTATATCTTATTTTGTTATATTTCGACAAATTATTATAATAAATGAACATTATTTAATAAAAAAGAAAAATAAAAAGTTGAAATTAGCGAAACATTACATTTTATTTCGTTTTATCTGGATAAAGTATTATAATAAATAAATATCAATAAAAAAAAATAATAATAAATTGAAATTGAGTAAAACATTACATTTTAATATTTTATAACCCAATAAAATATTATAATAAATAAGCCTTATTTTATAGGTTTTATATATATATTTAATGAAGTGAATAATTATCTTATTTTAATAAATATGCATATTGTATTTGTAGAAATATGTAACATTAAGAACTAGGTATCTGCTAAAGTGTACTAACTATTATTTCAAATAAAAACATAATTAAAATTATTTTAACATTTTCTTCTTTTTTTGTAGGTTATTATAATTTATAACATATTTTAGCAAGGAGAAATATTATTTTTAAAAATGAAAAGATAAAAAAGTGATTCATATATTTCCTTTTCAGCGACTTTGTTAGAGTACTAAACAAAAATATTAATGAAGAGCATGTATAATTGCAATTACTATTTTAATGAATTTAAGTATAATTTTAAATTCTGTAAGCAAATAAATTATTTTTATGAAGTTTCTTCATTGATTATTTATTGTTTTCAAGGGATATTTATCTACCTTATTATTCCATATATTTTTTAAAAATTTAAATCCTTATTAATTATCGATTTTTAATTAAATGTATTTTGCTTACTATCTTATGAGTATTATTTAGAAATTCCACTTTTTTCAAATTAGCAAGTATAATTAATTATTAAAATGTTTATTTATTTACGTAAATATAATAAACAAGAAATATCGTTATTTTTACTATAAGTTTTTTCTTTAAATGTAAAAATAAAAATTCATTACAAAGAGACTTTTTATTAATCAACAACTTTTTTCTGCTTTTTCTAACATTAAATCCTTTTTAATAAAAAATAAACGTATTCATTTTATATAATTAACTTACAAAAAAAAATGACAAAAAATTATTAACTATTTTTTTATCTATAGCTTGAATTGCTAAATGTATATTTTCTATAGAGCTATTAATTTTTATTCTCAAAAATGTTAGTAATACCTTTTATTAAATAAGAGGAGATAAAAAATAAAAATAGCGTAGAGTAATTTCATTAAACATATTAAGTTTATATATTTGAATGGCATAATTTACTTATTTTATGTTACGCTAAATTCGAATGTTTAAAATTTATTAATTGAGCTAATTTTAAACTTAATATAACATCTAAATTTTTTTTTCGAAGTTTTAATTTAGTAAATATGATATTAATTTCTCCATGTATCCTCCACTAAATTATTTTTCAATGCTTTAAAAAACACTTGAATGTTGTTGAATAAAGGACATTATAATCCTTTTTAAATATAATAAATAATGAAACAAATGCACTACAAATATTAAAATATTCATACAAAATAATTATACAATGAATATGAAAATATCAAACAAATAATATTTCATAGTAGTCAGTAACTGCATTGTCGACCTTCTTAAATAATATATCATAAAATGTAAAATAAAAGCAAGAAAAATTAATTGTCTTAGTAAGATGTTTAATAAAATAATTTAATAATTCAAATAAGATTAACTATCTTAATTATATGTATAAAAAAAAAATAATTTTTTTTTTTTACATGTATTATTTTTATTTTGAAAATTTGATTATTTTTTTTTTTTTTTTTTTTTTGAGAGAGAGAGAGAGATGAAATATAGAGGGAAAAATATAAGTTATATATTAAAAATAATTTTAATCGATTTTTGATAAATCATAATTATATTACTAATTAGAGTCGATATAATATCAAAATGAATAGAGCATTAAACATTCAGTTTTAACATAAACATGTAGAAAATTTGATTAAAGTATAGAATCTATTAATAAATTAATGAGTTAATTAAAAATAATTTTTATTTGGTATTAATAAAAGATTCTATTCATCTTTTGTTAAATAATAAAACATAAACAAATAAAATAAAAAATTAGCTGTGCAAATTCATTGTTTGTTAAAACAGATAACTGTTTTTTATAAAAATAAAAAAAAAATATATAGTTATATACATTAAATAATATTTACTTTATTTTCTTATTTGACAGTTGTTTTTGTTAATTATATTTTATTTTTATTCTTATCTTAATTTTTTTTTTTAAATTTATAAGCTTAAAGGATTGACTAAAAATGTTTTTGTTTTGTTATTAATTTCTACTAGGAATTTTTGAAATTATTAATCATTTTAACAAAAATTATTATTTTATATAAAAAGTTATATTTAATCAGCTATTTTTACAATGAAAAGTAAATTTTTAATAAAAATAAGAAGCTTTTATTGAATCGAATATATTCTTTTCATAAATATTATACATATGACAATAAATATATCAAATTAACATATTTGCATTTAAAGAAATATAATTATTGTAAAAAATGTACTATGCATATATTTTATTTAAGGTAATTACATTTGATATATGCATTTACAACACAGATATTTTCTCATTAAATAAAAATATTACAGTAAACTATAAATCCTTCTTATTTATATTATTGTTTAATACTCTTACTAAAGCTTATTATCAATTTGTTAATAAGTCAAGTTGATTAATTTTTACTATTACTATTTTAAAAGTTCAAAAACAAATAAATTATTGTATGACATGCAGTACGATTACGTTATGTATACCTTTTCTTTTTAAAAAAAAAATTTATATTTGATAATATAAGTAGAAATTATTTTACATGTTTATTAATTCAGCGCTTAACTCATTATAAAAGTACTAAAAGTGACTATTAATAAATTACATGTAAAATCCATTTAATTTATATATAAGCATATTTTAATTTTAAGAAAAAATGATTTCAATAAAAACCTTTTTCTTGTTATTTTAAATATATTAATTCTTTAAAAAGTAAAGATAAGTAGTAGAATAAAAATATGCCAATTTATCAAAAATACTTTTTATAATTTCTTTTTATATGTATAAAAGGGATCAAAAAGATATATTTAATCAAAATATCATTTTTAAGGGAATTATAAATTTAATAAAAATAAAATTGAATACTTTCAAATTTTTTTATCCTATTAATTTTATTGATTTTTATGATGTAAATTATGATTTTAAATATTATTTTTATTTTCTTTTTATATGCAATCATTAATTGCTTTTGGAAATACACAAATTTTATAAATTATATTTAAAGTTTAATTAATATATTTTTTTTAAGAAAAATTATTTTTCCTTTTAAAAATATAAAAGTTTAAAGTTTTTTTGATTCAGTATATCTTTCTCTTAAGAAAATTTTATATAGTAATAACATAATACGGTATATTATTCCACATATTTACCTAGAAATAGAAAGAAAATAACTAAAATGATTAGTATAAATCCTTTACGTTGCAAAGTTTCAATCGTTATTTTGATTTTTTTAATATATATTACGATGCATGTAAGTAAAATAAAAGAACAAAAAATATTTAAATTCCTCTACATTTTTAAATTATTTTTTTTTATATTTAAAGCATGAATATAGATCATATCATAATGAGTATTTAAGATTTCCTTTCAGTAAATATAACCAAAGAAAATTAATGGAGATGCAGAAGGAGAATTATAAATATACAAATACAAATGCTATATTTGAAACAGATAATGATTATAATAATTTTAAAAAAAAATTAAATAATATTCTTCTAATACTAAAAATAGGGACAATTATTGCAAATAAAATGCCTGAATACTTTGAAATAAAATTTGATAAAATAAATAATTGTAAAAATATAATGAATCAAGAGGAACAAAAACAATGTAAGTCATTTACTCTTATGAAGCATTACGATCTGTGTTATCAGAATAAGGAATGGGTAATGGAGATAGTAGAGTATTCATTAAATTATATAGAAAGACTTATTAATATTCTTAATAAAGAATTATAAAATAAACAAAAAATATCAATAAAAAAAAGTAAAAAGTGAATGTATTAGATATATACTATTGAGTGATTAATAAAAGGTGTTAACCTTTTTGAAAATAAAAGGTAGTAGCTACATAAAAAATAAATAGCTTGAAATAGCTAGATAAAAAAAAAAAAATTATTTATTTTTTCTTTTTGTAAATTTTGAATACATAAAAAAAAATATATTTTTTTTTTTGAAAAATAGTTTAAAATGATCAAATATTAAAAAGAATAGTTGTTAACTAAAACGTTTATTTTATATATTTTTGTTTAAATTTATATAAGAAATTTTTTTTTTAACATTTATAAAATCTTCGTGTTTTGTATTATTTATATAATTTATTATGTAAAAAATTACTCGTAACATTATAAATAAAATATATGTAATTCAAATTGATAATCAGTGAGTATTTAAATTTTTAATAAAAATATAGTATTTTTACTAAGATAAATGCCTCTTAAAAATAATAAGTTCTCAATGAAGTACACTATACATAAAAAAATTTACAGTCTTATGGTATTAAAATTATACATAAATTCATTAAATTATTAGAGGAAACTCTACATGCTCTCTATTAATCTGTTTGTTCAATACTCTAGCAAAGTCATTGAATAGGCAATTAGTAAGTCAATTAGCTATAGCGACAGAATTCGAAACCAGCACATCCATGATACATTGGATTAGTAGTATAATCAAGATGAAAGAAAAAATGAGAGTATTTGGATTATATATTAAGGAATATTGAGTATCTACAATTCATATATATTTGAGGAAAAGAAAGATGGTGAATTTACTAAAGTAAAAATACCAAAAGGGACCACTAAAATTCAATGAGATATAAATAAAAGATTACTTTGAATTGTTCGTAGACTTTCAAAATAAAATAAAATTGCTAAGATTAACTAAAAAGGAGGCATGTGTGATAATGGAATCTTCATTGACAATAATTCATTCACATTATACAGTTGATTTATTTTTGAACACAAAAGAAGCAAATATTTTGCAATTACAAATTGAATTAACTAGTTTATTATTTAATAATAATAATGATAGTTTCTTAAAACTATGTAACATATTTAACTAAGAAACAAAAACAGACGTATTTGAAGTCATAGATAATTTAATTGTAAATTGTAGGGTGTATACTCTTATTTGTTTATGTTTTAAAGAACCAAATAGCGTATTGGTTTATTAGTTGCTTGTTCAACTTTTTTGCTAGTGTCAAACAAATAATTTAATAAAGAGTACATAGAGTAAACTCAATTTGATTTTAACTTAATTAAAATTTTAATTTAAAAATCTTTATTAATCAACATCAAATACTACCTATTAATTAATTATTTTTTTTAAGATAATTTATACAGAATTCTAAAATATAATTTCCTTAATATTTCATCTTAAAAAAAAATTATACATTCCATAGTAATCAACATATTTTCAAAAAAAAAAATTATTTTTCATTCATTTAGGATTACGTTTATTTTTTTAATAAAAAAAAAAAAAAATAATATGGCAACATTTTTCAGTGTCATATCCTAAAAATAAATATATATATAAAGTTTTTTTTTTTTCTAATTGTAGATATACCAAATAAAAAATTCTTATTATTTGTTTATATTTTTTTTTTTAGTAAGCTTACTTTTAATTCAAGTAAATATACTTTTTTTAGTATAATACTTTTTGAGTAACTATTTTAGTGTGAGGATTTATGATTGCTAATTGTCCCCACGATTTATGAAGCACAAAATAAAATGTCTTTATTTTTTTTATTTACCTAAATATTATACAAAAGAGGTCTATAGGATTATTTATAGACCATCTTTTTAGTTTTTTGTATTAATTTTCTTAACTGAATCTTATATATTTCTCTAGATTTACTACCTAAAAGTTTAATTTTAGAAAGTACAATTTGAATCTCTTTGCCTCTATAGTATATAGATACAATAATTAATCTTCTATTTTAAATTTTAATAATTTTATGTAGTAAAGATCAATAAGGTTTATATTGATTCTTGCCACTGTAATGTCTCAATTGATACCTTTGATAATTCTATAACTCATATTAAACAATATTATTAATATTAATAACTTTAATTGATATTGATAGTTTCTCCTTTAATCCATTTAAATCTTAATGTATTTATTTCCATCTATTATTTAAATAAATTGTTCTTATTCATAAAGTATTTTGAAGTACTATTCCTGAAAAATGAATACATATACAATTCATTCCAAACATAGTAAACTATTGTTTTTCCTTGAGCCCCATGAAATGTTTTTTTATGCATTATTACAGTATCTTTTATTATTTCTTCAATAAATATATTTTTTTCTTCTAAAGTGATCTTAAATATGTAATATAACCTTTTATGAAGACTTTTATTAATGTCATCTCCTTGAAAATAATGAACATTTGTATGATACAATTTCATTTGTAATTCTTCAATGACGTATTTCTGAAATTTTGGTTCACATAAACAAAACCTGATCAACAATAGTACTTTTATAACATCCAAACATAAGAATCCAAGTGTTTCTCACAGTAGAAATTGCATCAATAGAAATAGGTTTTTTTAATAACACTAGTTAACATAAACCGTAAATAATACTCTCTAACCACATGAATATAGTATTCTTCTCCTATCTATATTTTGAATCCAACAAAATCTAATGATACAATATCAAATATATTAAAATTTGATAATATATGATTATTATTAGGTTCAAACTTATATTATTCATTATCTAACAAAATAAACAATTTATAAAACATTTTTCAATATCTTGACTATTGTTAGAACACTAAAAGTATCTCTATATTTTCTTTAAAGTTTTATTCACTCTACAGTATCTAACAAACTTACTCTTATGATGCCAGTTTATCAAATGAGCCCTATATATTTCTGATATATATGACCGTCCTCCTGTTTTGTAAATGAGTAGAAAAATAATTTCTCCATATCACATCTCTTGTAATATTATTCTCTCCTTGCATTGCATGAGCTATTTCTTAATAAGATTGGATAATATAAGAATTTTCATAATTCTCCAGTGGTTTCCTACAAAATAAAGATATATAACTAAAAAGGTCACAGTTATCACTTATTGATCTAGTTATCCAATTACATAGACTGTTTTGAATTCCTTTAATGTGTTGAAATTCCTAATTAAATTTAGATTATCTTAATTTTCATCTATATAATTTTCCAATGTTAATAAAATCTACTTCTATGAGAACTTCACAGTCAATTTTGAGCTATTCCTTAGATCATTTAATATAGCAATCAAATATTTTACAAGTTATAACCATTGAAAATAATTCTTTTTCTATTTCACTCCATTTCCGTTAAACATCATTCGGCTTTCATGATGTATAGTGAATATATTTAATTTATCCATTGTTATTCATTTGGGTTAATACAGCTCCTATGGCATAATATGATGCATCTATATAAATAATGTTTTGTTATCCAGGATCAGAAAATGATAAATAAGTTATTTATGTCATACTTTTTTTTATTTGTTCAAAAACCTAATAATAATCTTTATTACTGGTTAATAAAGGATATTATTAACCTCTTTGAGAATAAAACGTAATAGCCATAGGAAAAATAAATAGTTATTCATAAAATAACTAGATAAAAAAAAAAAATAATATTAGTTGTTAATTTTCTTTGTTTTCTTTTGTAAATTTTAAAGTACACAAAATATATTATTTTTTTTAAAATGATTTAATAGTTGAAAAATTAAAAAGAATAGTTATTTGCCGAGGGGTTTATTGTCGTATATTTTGTTTAAATTTATATAATAAAACTTTATATTAACAATAATCAAATTTTTGTTTTTTTTTAGTATCCATATAATTTATTCTGTATTTTGTTAATTTTAGAGCAATGAATTTAAATTGCTTAACATTACTCATAACATTATAAATAAGATATATGTAATTAAAATCAGTAATTGAGGATTTAAATTTTTAAAAAAAATAGAGATTTTTATCAAAATAAATAAATGCCTCCTAAAAAAATAAAGACTCAATGAAGTAGATTATATAAATTCATTTTACTGATTTATTGTATTCAAATTATACTTAAATTCATTAAGTTGGTAAAGGAAATTTTATATGCTCTTTATTTATCTGTTAGTTCAGTATCGTGGCAAAGTCACTGAATAGATGATTAATAAATAAATTCCAAATAAACTTTTTCCTTCTAGTTAATAATTAAACTAGTTTATATATACACTCTGAAAATTTCTTAATATAATTTCTATAATAACCAGTATCTCCAAAAAAAAATTTCTATAATTAATCACATTTATGTTATTCCGCTTCAATAATTGTATTTATCTTATCTAAGGAAAATTTAATTTCCTTATAATCAATTATCTTTCTAAGTATGTTATATTTGCCTTAAAGAATTCACATTTATCTACTTTTGTTCCTAAACAATTATCAGTAATTTATATACTTTTCCCAATATTTTAAAATGTTCATTTATAAATTTTGTTAAAATGATGATGTAATGAATATTTGCAATTACATAGCTTTCTCAAAATAAGTCTATAAAGATATTTTTTATTATTCTTTGAAACTGTGTAGGATTATTTTTCAAACCAAATGTTACTACATCAAATACAAATGTCCCACGTTTGGGTACTATAAATCTAGTGTATTGATTACTATTTTCATCTAGTTTTTTTTCCATAATCCATTTTTAAGATCTATTTTAGAAAAATATTTAGTACACATAAAATATCTAGAATATATGTTTCATATGAGGTAAAACATACAAATCATCTAATATATATTTATTTAAATACACGTCATATATATTAGTTTTCCATCCACTATTTTTTTTTTTTTTTTTACAAACTAATACTATAGATGTTCAATTTGCGTTATAAACTCTACATATAATGTTTTTCCCTATCATTTTATCAACTTACTTATGAACCAAAATTAACATATCTTTACTCAA